TAAGATTTGACAATATCTGGGTCTGATTTTCTTGTTTAATAGCAGATATTACTACTGGAGTGTGTAAAGAAATTCTTGGGCTCTCCATGCAAATTAAGGAAGCCCCACTGGGCTCCTGGACATTTGCATCATAAAAAGAATTCAACAAATCATAATAGGAGAAAGCACAAATATACAGACTCTGCCATTCTGATGTTGGGATAAAGGATCCCTGGTTATAAAAGCTGAATCTCACTAAAATCAGAAAAGGGAGCCATTTGTCCCATGACAACATTTCAGCAGGACTGAAAAAAGGAGATATCTGCCTAACAATTACTTGATTTTGTTTTTATTGTTTAACTGTTGCTGTTAGTAAAACCACTACTTTCATCAGTGGTTGTGTACTAAGCAAAGCCACACAACAAAGAGTTTTATCCCCAAAGTGCCTTACGAATCAACAAAATTATATGAGGCTACCTGTTAAGGAGCATTGAACAATACACTGATGACTTCCAAAGGCAGTTTTACAGGTGTTTCTTAGAGACCCAACCCAGGCGACCGTGGAAATGTTCATTGTCTGTGTGGTCTATGGGACTACTGGCATCTGCGCATAATGCCACAGACATGACGAGGGGACTAGCACCAATAACAGGGGATGATAAAAGTGTTGAAGCCTTCTTTTGACCCCCAATATGAGTAAAGAAAAAGTATACTGCCACACTGTTCTGATCAAGACAGCCTTGAACTCAGCTATAATAAGATCAAATCAGCTGCATACACAGAACTGACATTTTTTAATGCATTAATTTAATTGAAAAAAAAACCCAAAACACTCTTCCAGATAGGTTTTACCACCATGTTCTGGACTTTTATTACAGAAGCTCTGTACCTATCATTTTCATATCCTCCCTTAAACAGCAAACAATGTGGTAAAATTGTGGGTAGTGGCAGCATGAAAAACAGAACCATTTTAATTTGTCCCATCTGGCATATTAACATTAATAAAGTTTAAAAAGAAATGCCTTGAAAGGCTTTCACCTACTGATTTAACAAGATAATGAGTAAAGCTTGCAATCTGCCACTAAATATAACTGATAAGAATAAGAGCAAGTTTAAGATGATGATAACAGAGATTAACCTCCAAAACACTGACATAAAAAGGAAAAAGAAAAACCAACCCTGCTGATTACAACACATGAGCATTAAAACTGGCAACCAAACTGTCTATTATTTTTGGCTAATAAGGTTTATCCAAGTACAGGCTGTTGCCAATTTAACAAACACAGCATACCATCAAGGGACTTTACACCAATCAGGTCAGAGCAGACACAAAGCATTCCTAACCCTGTAAATGCCCACTGAGGGTATCCCATGCTGGGGAAGTAAGTGCTCTTTGATTGTTCCATTAAAATTTAACCAATGAATCGTCCTATTTTCAGGTTGCTCTAAGGGGGAAAGCAACATTTTAATTTGTGTAAAATAATTATATCATTACTTATTTTGGCTATTTGTACTCCAGTATTTAAATGCCCTGAGTGGTTTGTCAGAGACAGAGAGGGCTGGCTGTGGAGACCAGAACAAATAATTCCTGCATTACTCCTATTAGTCCCAGATTTTGGTTGCTTGTGCCCAAATTTAAATTTAATGAAATAAATTCAATTAAATAAACTTGGGACTCTAAAAAGGGCAGCACAAAATATTGTGGTACTTCCCATATTCTAGTGTTGAAAATAGGTTCACTCTTCTCTTTCTCCATCACCTGTATCAGAGCCACATTTTCATCCCTGTCTTGGTCTGTTCCTTGGATCAAAACAATATCTTTTGCTTTCATTGTTCACAAAGAAATTTGTATTTAAGTCTGCAAGAAGGCATTTGCTCAATTTTTCTTCTCAGAAAAACAACAGTTGGTATATTTCATGTCTGATACTGCAAGAATGAAATTCAGCTTCTGTGTTCTCAGCTTGGATAACAGAAGCTGGTGACATTCAAGTATGACTTCTGAGGTCATAGCAGTGTGCAATAAAGCAGTATTTAGCAGATCTGTATGTTTTTGAAGTTCAGAAATGGGCATACTTTTTATGACTGATCTCTTACGTCTGGCCAAATCCCACAACACCTTATTAGAAATCTATGTATCAAGATGCAAGTGTAAATAATGTAAAAAATAGATGAAACTGATATAAATGACCAAATATTTTAATATATAATAATTCCCATTACCTATATATAGAACAAGGAAAAGAATGCAATGGGGGTAATACAGCTGTGACACAGAGAGAGAAAGCTAAGTAATATTAGGTATTAGATGTTTACAGAAATAATGGGTTTTATTTAGCAGATCTATTTTTAACCAGTGTATGATTTCCAGTGTGCTCCTCTCTCCAAATAGTGGATCAGATTACAAAGTATGACAGATGATGAATTAGGGACAGAGGACAATAAGGAGACAAAAGATTATTAAAAGGTTAAGAGCTCTTAAAACCAGTTTCAGTCTAGTCAAATTATGCCAATGAAGGAAACTGCAGGAAAATTGAAGAAAATACCACAAAGTGTAACAGAGGTTTTTAATGCTTATTCAAAGTAGGAAAAGGCTAACTGGATTATAAAATGGCTGACATTGAGGGTTATTTAATGACAGCCTAAAGCACAAAGATTTTTATGAACTATTTTCTTCTCTTCTTTCTCTGATGGTAAGCATCAAATATTGATGTAGGAGGGAAAAAAATATGACAAGTGGTTCACGTCAAAGGAGTAGTCCTAAAATCAAGCAAAATCCTTTACAGCTGTAATGTCTCAGGTGCTTTTAGTGACACCTTACTAGTGGAGCAAAAATTGTAATGGCATTCCTACGTGAAGTATTTCAGTATGTTTGTTTCCTTTGTTTGTTTGTTGGGTTTTGGGGTGTTGGGGGGTGGCAGGGAGGTGGGAGAGTGGTGGAGTGGGGGAGTGTCGAGTTTTGGAATGGGAGGAAATTTAGGGAAGTACGGTAAAAAGCTTTTTGTGTAATTGCCAGTCTATTGAACCACTCAAAAGCTGGACACACCTCTGTGAAAGACACATGTTAGAGATGAGAGAAACCCGGGAACTTTCCCTTCCTTTTCCGGTCGGCAAAGAGGTGACAGGCCCCGGCTCCAGCCCCTATCTCGGCCGGGCCAGGATGGGCAGCCCTGCCCCGGGCCGCGCCCCTTCCTCACCCTGGGCCACCCGCTGGCCTCCACCGGCCCTGTTTCGGTGAGGCTGGGCCAGGCGGCCCTGCTGGGGGGAGCGGGCCCCCTTTCTCCCCCTGGGGCACCTGCCGGCCCCTCCACTGGCTGCCAGGCAAGAGAGCCTCGCAAGAGCTGCGGGGCCAGCCCCCTTGTGGGAAGCCCGCCTGCTGCAGCAGCTGCCAGGCAGGAAGGAAGGGGGGGCTGCGGAGCCCTGGCTGGAGCAGCCATCAGATCTTGCCATCAAGTCCCCTCCCCACAGTGTGGCTGAGACCAGAGACCCCTGTAGCCTGTGCAGAGTGGCTGTTGGAATTGAACACAGAGAAAACCAAAGACCAAACATGAATCCTGATACAACCCAGCTGCAGCTCCCTCCACAAGTTACCAGCAGGTCAGGTGGTTATTGGTAGGCTGCACATTGGGCACCAATAATGTATTTGATCTGGTTCACAGCAAATTTGGGACAGAACTCCCGAAGAGGTTCCTCTAGAAAGCAGATTGCGTTGGCCTCTCCCCCAACCAGTTCAGGAAAAATATCTCCTTGGAGAGAAGTGGAAAAAACTGTTTATTAAACAATATTAAGCAATAAAACCATTTACCGCTCCAAAAGAAGTGACAAACTCAGAAAGTCCCCTCCGTGGAGTGTAGCTCAGCTCACTGAGTCTCATATTAGTCCCTGTGGTGCTGGAAATGTTGCGGCCCAGGCCTAGCCCAGTGGGTCACAGGTGTGAGCTGCTGGTGCTCTTCTGGGTGTTCAGTTCAGATAAGGTTTAAACAGGTCCAAAGAAAAAGAAAAAAACCACAGTCCAGGGAACTTCACCTCAGCTAGCTAAAACTAACTGAAAGCAAAGGAGAGCTCTGTCCTGCTTTGTGATGGTGTTCACAGGGGTTTTCGAATGAGAGAAGAGATGAGAATGTTGACTCCATATTTCAGAAGTCTTGATTTATTATTTTATTGTATATATTACATTAAAACTATACTAAAAGAATGGAAGAAAAAGTTCTCATCAGAAGGCTAGGCTAAGAATAGAAAAGAATGAATAACAAAGGCAGCTGTCCCAGACTGTCCAAGCCAGCTGTGCTGTGATTGGCCATTAATTCCAAACATCCACATGAGACTAATCACAGATGCACCTGTTGCATTCCACAGCAGCAGACAATCATTGTTTACGTTTTGTCTGAGGCCTCTCAGCTTCTCACGAGGAAAAAATCCTAAGGAAAGGATTTTCATAAAAAGATGTCTGCGACACTGCTTGTCTGTCCATTCACAGATAACACAGTCCAGGAGCAGGAATGTGGAGGAGTGAGTGCAGTGTCTGAAAACAAACTGCTGCATCTCTCCCCACTTTGCTCTCAGAACAAGTATTAAAGGTTCAAAGCTTATTATCCAGCATAAACAGAACAGATGATTGGGGATATGAGCATCATATAGCCAACCCATGACAGGGGCTTCCTTTGCCTCTCATTCAGATGTGTAAGTATGTGCCTAAGATGTCTTTTTGCTCACCACACTAAATGTCTTAGTTCACTGCTACCAGATACAGGATCATCGTGTGTTTTGCTTCATAATAGATGTTACTATCTTCCAGTATTTTTTGCGCTCAGATATCTAAACTTGCCTAAGCCTGGTTAAACTATGTGATAGCAGAACTTAGGAAGCTACCAGTATTTTGATCGTTTCCACCACTGTTACCACCAGAGAAGTTAATTTGTTTGACAAGTCCAATGAATTAGAGAAGTGATTTGTCATATTGTGTCATATTCCTTCTCTGAGTATTTTGTATGCAAGATACTGTATCTTGCATAAAAAAAAGAAGAATGTGGTCCATTCTAGGGCTCCATCACCCACTCCCTCCTCCTCGTAAGCATCGCCAGCACTACCCAACACCGTCATTCAAAAAGGTAAACACATTATATTTCATAACATATTCCAATATGTTCCAAATGTATTTTGACATGCTCTTCTTCCCCAGCTAGGCCTATTTTCTAAACACCTTGGCACATTGTCAACACTGCTGATTCACTGTGGTCTTTCTTTGATTTCCGTGATATCAATTAAAATTGGAAAGATGGCAAAAAGAACTGCTGGGGAGGGGAAGAAATTACATTTATGCCCTACAACACAAACGTATGTGCATATCTGATTTTTTACAGGATTACAAATTCATAACACAAATTTATCTAAGGCTTGCAAACTGATGGTTGCGTAACTGACAATCAAACCCTTAAAAATGCTGTGAAGACTTGACTCAGTAACCTGAATGAGCATAGGTGAATAATCAAATACTGACACACTGATCTGCCAGTTTCTTTCTTTCATGTGAACATTTTCTGTTAAAGAAATGGGAAATACATGACTAAAACACTGTTGTAACTGTCACCGATAGAATAAAACAAATGCTTATTTAAAGTACATGTTGGAAGGAGGCCGTCTCCACCTGTCCCTGTTGTCTTAAGTGGAGATGGACTTCACATGGAAATCAGAGTGAACAAAGAATTCAGGACTCTCCCATCCCTAACAGGAGATAGAGCTTTTCTAGATGCTTCTTCTGGACATTTTGTTTTTCCAAGCTTCTCCAGATCCAATAAATCACACCACAGAATAAGCTCAGTTGGAGGAACCCCCAAGGATGATTGAGTCCATCTCCTGGACCTGCACTGGACACCCCAAGAATCACAATATGTGCCCCAGAGTGATGTCCAAATGCTTCTTGAACTCTTTCAGTCTTGGTTTTGTGAGCATTTTGGGGAGTCTGTTCCTCTGGGTGAAAAACCTTTTTTTATTGTCCAATCTACACTTCCCTCGACACAATTTCAGGCCATTCTCTTGGGTTCTCTCATTCATTACTACAGAGAAGAGATCAGTGGCTGCCCATACTCTTCCCCTCACAAGGAAGTTGGAGTCACACACATTACAGAACCTGTACAGAACCTTTCTGTCTCTTACAGGATCATTTTGCCACAGTAGTCTGACAATAGCAGTTCAGGACAAAGCTTTCCATCATAAATCAGAATTGCTGATGGAGTTGGTGTTCAAAGGTTTAAATGCAATATACATTGCATCATCTAAGAATTTGCACATGGAGGAAAAATGAGACTTTAAAGGCCAAAGTATAACTGTTTGCCCATTTACTTCACCTTTCCTTTTTTTTGCCATAGAAACCTTTCTCATTGAAACCACTGTTCATGCTTAGTAAATCATACATGATCCTACTTAAGCATAGACAGAACAAACTGTGTTAAGAGCTTAATGATTGATTTCAAGATGCTGACTTGGAATAGAAAAACATGTAATGAAAGCAATCAACATTTACATAGGAGACTCAGACTGAATAAACTCAGGGAGGGGAAGGTGTTCATTCAGACATTAGAGGCTATTGCTTTTTTGCCTGTACTTAAGTAATATCAATTCTGTCACACAGCATTTGATCAGTGCATGTTCATACCTTGCAAGAAAAAAATCTAGAGCATACGTTAGAGGAAGCATTTGTAGTGCAGCTCTCCCCAAAGGACACTGGGACCTGAGTGTGCCTAAATAGCTTGAGGACCTGGACTCAAGGCCTAGCTCACAGCACTTAAAATTGTTGCCTCTTATGGGCAAACACATGGTTCATACAGAGAGAGAGCTATTTGGCTATTAAAATTCAACACCCTATCTTCAGTCTTATGGGAAGGTAATATATATAAAATAAATAAATTTATCTATAGCTATCATTGTAGACTTCTCTGAATATCTCAAAAAAAGTGCCATATCTTCCATATTCTAAAGTAAGATAGGAAAAACATATAAAGAGCTGCAAGGAGCATAAAATCGTGGGGTTTTTTTGAAGGTGGAAGAATTTAGTTCCTAGGTAATCTTAGTTCCTAGGTAATTTGGGGTCGTTTTTGGGCTGATTTTGGGGTCGTTACTTGGAATTTTTGGGCTGATTTTTGGGCCAGTATTTTGTATTTTGGGGTGGTTTTGGAGCTGATTTTGTTATAGACATTTGGAATTTTGGAGTCCTTTTTGGGCTGATATTTGAAGGTTTTGGGCTGATTTTGGGGTCAATATTTGGAATTTAGGGGTTGATTTTGGGTTGATTTTGCGGTCATTATTTGGGATTTTTGGGCCATTATTTGGGATTGTGGGGTGGTTTTTGGGTGGGTATTTTGAATTTCAGGTTCGTTTTCTGGGCTGATTTTGGGGTCAATATTTGGAATTTTGGGCTCATTTTGGGGTCGTTACTTGGAATTTTCAGGCTGATTTTTGGGCCAATATTTGGAATTTTAGGGTGGTTTTTGGGCTGATTTAGGGTCAATAATTGGAATTTTTGGGTCAGCAATTGGAATTTTTGGGTCAATAATTGGAATTTTTGTTATTTTCTGCCCCAGGCTGGCGCTGCTGGAGCGGACGTGCCAGAGGCGACGCCTGGGCTCGGAGTTTGGGGCGGATTTGGGCGATTTTGCGGCTCCCCTGCTCTGCTACCGCCGCTCCCTGACCCGCCCCCAGAGCCGCCCCCGGAGCCGCCCCCAGAGCCCCCTGGGACCCCCCCCCAGAGCCGCCCCCAGAGCCGCCCCCGGAGCCGCCCCCAGAGCCGCCCCCAGAGCCGCCCGGGGCCCCCCCAGAGCCGCTCCCAGAGGCCCCCGGGGCCCCCCCCGGAGCCGCCCCCAGAGCCCCCTGGGACCCCCCCCCCAGAGCCGCCCCCAGAGCCGCCCCCGGAGCCGCCCCCAGAGCCGCCCCCAGAGCCGCCCCCGGAGCCGCCCCCAGAGCCGCCCCCAGAGCCGCCCGGGGCCCCCCCAGAGCCGCTCCCAGAGGCCCCCGGGGCCCCCCCAGAGCCGCTCCCAGAGGCCCCCGGGGCCCCTCCGCAGCCGCCTCCGCAGCCGCCCTCAGCGCCGCCCGGGGCCCCTCCGCAGCCGCCCCCAGAGGCCCCCGGGGCCCCTCCGCAGCCGCCTCCGCAGCCGCCCTCAGCGCCGCCCGGGGCCCCTCCGCAGCCGCCCCCAGAGGCCCCCGGGGCCCCTCCGCAGCCGCCTCCGCAGCCGCCCTCAGCGCCGCCCGGGGCCCCTCCGCAGCCGCCTCCGCAGCCGCCCCCAGAGCCCCCCGGGGCCCCTCCGCAGCCGCCCCCAGAGCCCCCCGGGGCCCCCCCCGCCCAAGAGACCCCGGAGCCTCAGTGAGAGCCGGATTCGGGGGGGGAAATGCAGGAATTTGGGAAAGTCCGGAATTTACTGGGGGCAAAAATGGGAATTTGGGGGGGAAATCCTGAATTTGGGGGGAAAAATCTGAATTTTAGTGGAGGTTGGAGGGGGAAAATCTGAATTTTAGGGGACAAAACTCTAAAGTTGGGGAAAAAAAATCCAGGTGAAAAAAATTTTGGGTGAAAGAAAATCCAATTTTGTGGGGCAAAAATCTGAAATACAGGGGAAAAGTTTTGGGCAGGAAAAAGGAAACTGGGGGAGGGGGGAAAGTCTGAAATTTTTTGGGGGAAAAATCTGAATATTGTGGAAAAAAAATCCAATTTTAGTGGGCAAAAAAGCCGAATTTTGGCAGAAAATAAAAAATTTTGGAGGGGGGGAAAGAAAACATAAAAAAGGGTAAAAAAAATGCCCTCAAATTTTGGGTTTAGAAAATGAAGTTTTGGGTCAAAACAGTGGAATTTTGGTTCAAAGCCCGATTTTTGCAGCCCCGTCCAGCTCCAGCCTGTCGGCCCCCATCCCCACCCTGACCTCGACCACGCTCAGGGGGAGGTCCCGCTCGTCCCCCCACCTGCACAGGTACGGCAAAAAAATACCCCAAAATCTGGGGGTAAAATTCCTCCTGGATAAAAATTGATACAATGATTAATACAAGTAATACTGTATATATAGTATTCAATGATTAATACATCAATTTTTATTTTTCTATAATTATGAATATTTTCTATTTCTATATATGTCTGCATATATTTGTCATACATTTCTGTCTTTATATTTTGATTGTGGTTTCGTTTCTATTTATAATCTCTATTTTTGTATATCTATAAACAAATATAATACCCTACCCTGTATTTAAAAATACTATATCCTAGTGTAATATATAATGATTTACACTACATGGATTTTTTATATATGTATTTGGTCTCTATTCAATTTTAAGTTTTTATTCCGATTTCTATACATATCTTTGTTTTGTTTAATTATAGTTATAATTTTACATTTAAAGTCCAATTCCTAAATAAAATGACGAAACAAACAGCATCGAATTGCCACCAATATCTTCAAAAACATCAAGCTAAAAAACCACACAATGCTCTTTTCCATAAGTCCTAATCACATCAGAAAAATGGAACCAAAATAAAAGAAAACCCTATAGAAACACGCACAGCAAATCACAAAAACTACTTAGAAAAAAAATCAAACCAATTTACTAAACTCCAAAGAGTTCCACTGACCCTGAACATTATTTAAAAAAAACAACTAAAACACAACCTCTACACTAACTCAAAGAAGAACCAATACTCCGTAGAAATAATTTTAAAAACCGAACTAATTAACGAAGTGGAAAAAAATCTTAACCACTAAAAACTAAGAAAATTCCTACCCAAATAAAAAAACTATTTAAAGAGACCCACCATATAAATACCCACGTTCCCAAAAATTAAACTAATAAACTGCAATCAAATACATCAAAGGACAAAAAAAAAAACCCCAACAACAAAAACAAAAAAAAAAAAAACCCACCAAAACCAAAACCAAATAAACTTAAATTTACAACAAAAAAATTACTCCCAACTGAATAAACCAATAGTGCCTCAAGCTATCAAAATAAAAATACCACCTAGAAACAAACACAAAGCCTAAAGACAAACGTAACCATAAACAATGTCTCCCAAATTACCCGTAACCATAAAACATACGCTACAATCAAACAAATCAAATAAATAAAAGCCCTGGAAGACGATAAACACACAGGCAATTATCAAGACTTAAAACCCGCTGGTATGAACGACACGGCTCAAGCCCCCCAAAACAAACACTACACACTCACGCTAATAAAAGCCGCCAAAACAGAATTAAAATACGAACCGCTGCTTCACGCTACGACCCGTAAAAACCATTGCACGCCGGAGAGCCCCGCCCGCTGCCCCTGCCCGCCGGGGCCGGCACCGGGCCCGGGGCTACCGGCGGCGCCCGAGCCCGCGCCCGGAGCGGACGGAGCGGCCGGCACCGCCCGGGCCGGCGCAGCAGCGCCCGCGCCGCCTCTGCCGCCCTCGGCCGGCCCGGCACGGCTCCCCTCGGCTCCGCACGGCTCCGCCACTGCCGCGCTCGGCCGGGCCGGCCGCGCCAAATCCCCCGTGCGCCCCGGCAGCTGCCCGGGCCGTGCCAGCAGCGCTCCCGAGCGGGAACGTTCCGGGCCGGGCCGCGGGCACGAGCAGCGCCCTCCGATGCAGCGGCACAGCCCCATTGCAGCCCTGCAAACGCTGCCAGAGCTGCGGCTTCCCGCAGCCGAACCCCGAAACTGACGCCGCCGGCGGGGCTCACCTCACTTCAACAAGGGCAAAGAAATGCCTTCTCCCCTTCAGTTTCGTCCCCTACGAGAGCAGAAAAGAAGGGGCGCTCCTCAAATGAAAGCCTTCGACTGATGGGAAAGGGTGATTTCGACCTCCATTCAAACCCTTGAAAAGGAGGGACACCAGGGCTGCCCCCTCCATTTAAACCCGAGGGTGATGAAAATGGGGTGGCTGCCTTCAAATCCAACCCATAATACCACAAGAATACTTTTCCCATTCCCCTTAAAATAGAACGCAGGGATTCCCTGTCACCCCCGGTATACCCGTAACAGCCTGGAAAAGGCAGCTTTTCCTGCAATCAACACCCTTAAAACCCCAAGTGAAGAGGGATCCCCTCAGCTCAAACTCAGATAATAAAAGAAGAGTAGCTGCTTCCTTCTCCTTAATTCCTTTTGTGCTCATAAGCCCCATTTTTGTTCCTGGGGATCCGGGGAGGGACTGGCGAGTGAAATTGCAAAGGGGAAGGAGAAAATTCCCCGCTCCAAACCCACACGGGCTCACCTGTTCAGCCGCTGCTCCCCGGCACAAAGATTCGTCCCTCGGCGCCTCCTTTAAGCGATGCTCCACGTATCCAAGCGCGGATCCAGGCGTTCCCCCCGACCCTGTGAGAAGCTCCCGCAGTCCCTCCATGAGACAGCGCCGGGAGCGCCCCACAAACCCCTCCACTCAGCAGCTCCACGCTAAAGGGAGCTGAGGCAAAGCCTCCCCCTAAAACAGCCTCGCCCCGGCAGGAGCGGGCCCCTCATCATCCTCACAGCTCACACCTGGGCTGCTCCGAGCCCCCACCATCCTCACACTCACACCTGGGCTGCTCCGAGCCCCCTATTTTTCATATTTATATTCGCATTTATATTTAGAATTTATATTACTGTACAATAAAAATTATATTGTATATTGCATCTCTTCATGTTACTTACATAGATTTCTATTTCTATTCATAGTTTGATATTATATCTTTATATCTCTATATATTTATTATATATTGGTTGGTTGACAGAAAGCTGAATATGAGTCAGCAGTGCTGTGGCAAACAGGAGGGTCAGCCATGTCCTGGGGTTCATCATGCCCGGCATCACCATCCAGGCAAGGGAGGGGATTGGCCCCACCTCAAGTGCTGGGGCCAGTTTTGGGCACTGTAATTAAAAAAAAAAAAAAAGATATCAAGCTATTAAAGAGTGTCCATAAGGATGATGAAGGGCCTGGAGGAGAAGCCATATGAGGAGCAGCTGAGGTCATTCAGTCTGTTCATACTGGAAGAGATGGAGGGGAAACTTCTTTGTGAGGGGAAGAGGAGGGGCAGACTGTCATCTCCCCTCTGTGATGACCAGTGACGGGACTCAAGTAAATGGCATGACGTTGAGTAAGGGAGGTTTAGGTGGTATATCAGGAAAAAGCCTTTGACAGGACGGCTGGGAACTGGAACAGATTCCCCAGTCACAACACCAAGCTTGAAAAAGTTCCAGAAGCATATGAGCAATGCCACAATGCCTAGGATTCTTGGGTGTTCTGTGCAGAAGTTGGACTTGATGATCCTAGTGGGCTTCTTCCAACTGAGCATATTCTGTGAGTTTATCTACAGTTTATTGTATGTTTGAAATAATGTTATCAGTGTAAGGATGTTGATTTAGATGCTCCATCATGAAGACTCTAATAATGAAAGGACACAAATTTGAGTACTTGGAGCAACATGCTGAAAGTTTTAAGTTCAGCTTTTCAGAAGAACAGTTCTTCCTGACAGTTAAAGACTGAGCCAGAAAAAAAGGGAAACCACTTAAATTGTTTAGGCACCTCCAAATTTAGGCAGCATCAGAATAGATTTTTTACTGAATTTGGCATATAAACCCTCATTATATATACTATACAATACACACACATATATTATTTATATTTATATTTATATTTATATTTATATTTATATTTATATTTATATTTATATTTATATGCATTCTGTATTCAGGATTTGTAAGCCTGCACCTTGTCCAGTTCTGGGCCTCTCAGTTCAAGGAAGACATTACAGAGCTGGGACCTCTCCACAAAAGGGCAAGAAAACTGAGGTAGAGTGCAGAGAAAAAATCATACGAGGAGCATCTGAGAGAGATGGATGTGTTTAACCTGGAGAAAAGGAGGCTCAGTGGAGATCTTATCAACCTCTGCAACTGCCTGAGAGGAGGCCATAGGCAAGTGGGATTGGGGGATGAGAGGACATGGCCTCAAGCTGTGCCAGAGGAGGTTCAGGTAGGACATCAGGAAGAATTTCTTCACTGAAAGGACTGTTAAGCATTGGAATGGGCTGCCCAGGGTGGTGGTTGAATCACCATCCCTCTAGGTATTCAGTAAAAGACTGCTCATATCGCTTTGTGCGGAGGATCCTCCATCTCATAATCCCACGAAAAGAAATACATTAAAAAGTGACATGTTTAGGTGCAATATGGTGCAGTATGTAGAGTGAAGGATATCAATGCTTCATAATACCAGAAAAGATGATCCTGCCTCAGATTACATGCTATTATCAGTGTTTCTCCATTAACTGCACTGCAAAATGACACACAGCCTAACTGTTTACTTGTACTTGGCTTGTTTAAGTTATATTGTTTTGCATTTGGAATACATATTTCCATTTTTATTATTCCTAATATGGTCATCTCCAATGAGCTAAAAATACAAGATTTTCAAGAGTCCATCCATAGAGAGTTGCCAAATGGATTCCTGGCTTGCAAATAAAAAAAAATAAATATAATCCATCCCAAATTTCAATATATTTCATGTTTTTATTCCTCTTTTAGAAGAGTGAGACTTCTTAAAACTATGTTGGATTTCTTATCTCTTCACATATTGTGCCATAGTCTCAGCATTTTAACAAAAGTTGTAATCACTAAAATCTGGGTGATGAGAAAAAGATTACAACAAGTATAATCATTATAAAAAATTATCTGCAGAAATAACATCTCCTAAACAGTTTCCCAGAATCCCTCTTGATTTCTCAATTGGTCTATTTCTTTCTGCAGTAAAGGAGCAATATTTTACCTAATATTCAATGGGTTGTGGGTCTCTCACACAAACTTTGACTCACAGAAATATAAATTAAGCTAAAGGATAAATTCTTTAAGCAGTTCCATTCACATCTGAGATGAAAGATTAGGCAAAATGTCTCTGGAATTATCAGCCTCAATGTCCATCACACCACTGGAGTTTCTCTTCAATAATTTTAGGTATCTGGATTGTCTG